GAATAGCCTTCTCCATATATATAATCTACAGGTTATGTAAAATGTTCCATAGAATAGCCTTCTCCATATATATAATCTACAGGTTATGTAAAACATTCCATAGAATAGCCTTCTCCATATATATTATCTACAGGTTATGTAAAACATTCCTTAGAATAGCCTTCTCCATATATATAATCTACAGGTTATGTAAAACGTTATTTAACTAACAACATGTAATTGTCGTCTATTCCTTACCACAGTTTTACATTAGCCTGTATTCATTTTAGCGGAACCAGATGGAAGCCATGCATTATTTGAAGGAAAGAGATGGTGAGTATTTTTTTAACTGTAATGATATGGCATTTACAGTCTGTATGACTGACATAGCTTTGCAGGCAAACACATGCATTATGATTTGTTTGCCTTCACAGCCGTGTCACTCATATAGATGGTTAATGTTATATTATCACAGTTCAATGTTTATATTTACCAATTTTTGAGTACATTCATATTATAAAAATTAGAATACACTTACTAAAATCCTGCACTGAGCAGTATATGTATTGTTTACTGGTTCGCTGTAAAGAACGATTGTCTTCCATAGAGGATCAATGGTATCTAACATTACAGTGAGGCGCCCCTCAAAACTGAAATTGGCCCTTTCGAGTTCCAATTTTCTTTTAATTTTACATAGAATGGTCCCTCTTAATTTGGATATTGACTTAAAATTGATGGAAATGGCCCACTGCTCTCAAATTTCAGAAGTTTCCCAGAGTCTGTACCAAGAAAGTACAATCACAAATAAATCACACTGGTACTTCATATACAACCAATCAAAAATCACTTTAACTCTACGATGACTTTGTCTTTGCACCGGTGTAGGAAATTTACTCTGAACCTAGCTAAAATGTCATGGAAACGTGTGATGATATTTTCTATTTCAGATATATCTACAGCAGTATGTACAGCAAGCAACACAGACATTGTCAACCATCATGACATCATACCATACTCCAGCACAGAGGAAATACCAATCGCCAATGAACTCTTCAAGGCATACTTTGATTATGACAAGAATAAAGGTGATTATACATGTTGGGTGATTACTAGTAAACCCTGTCAGATCTGAGGTGAATCAAGTTTGAGCAAGAATACTAATACATTTATGCATACAGAGAAAGCAAAAATTCTACGAAATCTGTTTGTAACTGTTAAAAAAAAAAGAATGTAAAAAGAGCAGCATTAGATAAAAAGACAAAAATGGCACAATAAAACAGGCAAAGAGAAAGTTTTATGTTAATGTATGAAGTAGGGTTCTGAACCTTTGTACAACAGGAGGATTGGAAGAATACAATGCAAACACTTTAATTCAATTTATAGAGAGAAAAAAAAACTTAAAAATTACAGAGATATACCAATGAAAACAAAGAGATTATCACCGCAATTAAAGTACATAATAGAAAAAGATCCCCAGGAGAAGTAGCCTGAGTTTCATCTGTCCCTGACACCAGACTTAGATATTTTGACAGATAGATGTCTGGTGTGGAGCCAGAGTGCACTACTATATGAAAACGTGGAATTCTCTGACACCGTTTGGTGAATTAATTAAACCTGAATGAATTAAGAAATTTAATATGTGAGGAATTCACATAAATGACATTAATTAATTTACGAAGTAAAATTTAATGTATTCTTAAATATCTTTCAATAAGATTCATCAGTTTGGAAATTTATGTAATATCAAAGTTTTACTTTCTACACAAACAATGAACATATTAAACATGTCGCAACGTTTCAAGACTGACTGGTCCCTTTGTCAAGCTACGACTGAAACTTGTCATAGCATAGCAAAAGAGTCATAGCTTAACGAAGGGACAAGTCGGTCTTGAAACGTTGCGACATGTTTAATATGTTCATTGTTTGTGTAGAAAGTAAAACTTTGATATAAGATATTAAACTTCTATTTAAAAAAAATAGGGGGAAGAAGTGGGGAACATTAACATGAGAACAGAGATTATAAGATTATTGCTGAAATACTGGCCAATTGATCAAAACCAATATTATACACAAAAAAATACAAAAAGGATTTGTATCTAGGCATAATATATACATGTCAGTATCTACTTTTTTAAGACATTCACAGATATATTACAACATCAATCAAGAGGGCTCATCTATTTTCTTAGCAAATTTAATTATGAAAAATATGATTCATTATTTCATTAAAGGATAGAAATTCAACAAACAAAAAGTTACAATATGTGTTCAGACTTATGGCTTTACCTCATCCAATTTTAGAATAACACATAATAATGTCCAATAAAATTAGTCTAATCTTACATCCTGTGGTACACAATATATTGGTCAGAATAGACAGGGTGTCAGAATATACATGTCTGATAGGGAAACAAACATTTAAAATGGGAATATATAATTTATAGTGGATGATACATGTACAGCTGCTTTCTTAATCACTAAGGGATTGTATTTTATAGATTCAAAAAACACAATCATTCAGAATGATTCAATTGTGTTGTTGATATTTATCACGTGAACCTGCCAAATATAATATCTATTAGTAAATAAAGTCATTTAAAACTGACATATGAAGTTGTTTTTTATATTAATCTCTTTGAAAAGCTGATGCTTAATTAACAAAAAGATGTAACAGCTAAAATATAACAGATATCTTGAATGGTTAAATACATTTTTCACGTGTTTGTATAGTGCCAGCCTGTCGGGTAAAACCTGAGCTGAATAATGCAATACAGATGCACTTTCCATGGGCAGACATGGACAATGTTGTGTACAAGGAAACCACGAAAAACATACAGGTTACCTGTATACCTTTCTTCTTAGGAGCCAGTAAATCAGAGGTATGTCGACAAACAAGATACCTAAAGTACTGTACCGGTAGTTCTAACCAGTTTATTTTGCCTTCTTCCTCTTTCCTACAATTATGAATTATTTTACTGTTATATTATATTAAAAACAAGTTTACTTTACAGACTTCTTTAAAATACAACATAGTTACCTACAAAAATAAATACAATTGTGTTACCTAATTTGTTCAATGTTAAACACTTTATTAAAAGGTATTTATATTAATTTTAGAACATTTTGTTCTTGTGTAAATTTTTACTGGAAAGTTCTGTCAGTTCCCCATGTCTGATTTGTCTAATTTTTGTCGTTTACAGAAAACCTCGAAAAAATACACAGTAAGTATAGATAGCACAAAATTCTTGATTCAATTTTTTTTAAATTTTATTAATATGTATGTGTTTGGGGGTACATTTTTTCTAAATATGTAACAGGACAGGGAGGGGGGGCATTATTGATATGTGATTAGGGCATTAATGATAAAGTCAAACCTACCCAAGATGACACCTGATATTATTTTCATGTTAACTTCACCTCTGATAAGAGACCACTTGATGAGGCACCTGAAGGTGGTCTCTAAATACTTGTCAGACTAGTATTAATATGGGTAAAAGTGTAATACCATATACTATGTTATAGTATTTTCTATCTGTCCCGCTGGTTAAATATTAGCACCTTCCTACCGATTTGGCTAGGGAGAATTTCTCTTAGCTTTTTTGGTAGAGCGTAAGACTAGTAAACCAGAGGTTCCATGGAGGCATTGAAAAAATACTGACCTCTGTTTCATAATTTTTTATTTATATTTTGTCTGGAAAACTGGAATCTAAATATATCTGTCAAATTTCTTTGCAATGTTTGGGGGTTAATTTCCATTACCGGTATATGTAGTTGTCAACGAAAATATTGGAAATCTTCAATGATTACGTTACTAAAGAGTTATTTCCCTTTGTGTAAGCAATTACAATCCAGTTTTCATCAGACTTTCTGCTACCATCACATGCTGTTGTTTTTCTGTATCAGATATATTGATTGATTGATGTTTTACATATACTTTTGTCTTTAAGTCTGATTTACTGAATAGCTAGCCACATACAACTAATTAAACCTCTCCCTATTGAAGTGAAATCAAGGGGGTTTACCTCCCTTGGATAGCATGCAATACTGAAAACTCATGAGTTTAACGTACATATATATTTGTCGGTTTGGGAGCTGAGCGCTGGTCTAAAAGCCTCCCATATTTTTGTTGTCAGTGATAACTACACTTCATGTACAGTTTATATCCTTACATTGACATATTACAGTATGCTTCTGTGCAGTAGTCTTTTTAAAATATTTATTAAAATAATGACTAAATGAAATAAATGGTACATCTTTATAGGAAGATAGAAGAAAAAGAAGAGGCTGAAAATCATTTTATGTTTATTTAGATACTGATTTACAATGCAATTACAGTATGAATTAATTGTCTGTAAAAGTCAGTTGGTTTGGAAATAAGGAAAGGCAGTGAGAACAGTCATACTCCACCGACTTTGTGATTTGCCCATTTAATGACATGATGTTTAGTTTAATCTGCTCTCACTTGTATTATACAATCCTCTCTCTTCAAAGGCCACCTTTTTTCATCCCCACTAAACATTTTATATAAATTACTAGTCTGTTGAGAGGCCACGTTTGACCATGAGGGTCTCTGAGGTTGTTTTCCAATACTGTTTTGACTATAAGTTACATTGATTTTGTATTTTAGTGGATGTACTGTATCCGGATAGAAAACCTTGGCTTGGATACACTCCAAATTAGGCAAAGAGAGTGGCTACTGTTTTGTAATTCCACTGCCAAAATTAATACTGAGCGTGGGCCTACCGTTGAAGGTCAGGTAAGTCAGACGAAGAGATATGAAGGTTTGGTTTCCATCTCCTTACACATCCTTTGAAGATCTGGCCTTCGGATCACACACCAATCTGAGACTTAAGTTTTCCCTTAGCCAATCTTGCATGCTGTGAATATTTATGACGTTATTTGTGATTGATTTAGTCAAAACATAAGACAATTTTTGACTTTAGATCATTTTATGATCTCATGGCCTGGGGACAGTGTTCAAAACTATAATCATCTATACTGAGTTTTCATCTCAAGGTCAACATCTATGTCACTATTACTCTAAATGTACATGTTTACAAAATGTGTGTCTACCGTCCGAAGTTCTATCAGATTTTGATGAAACGTATCTTGTTCCCTACTTGTACTCATACATTTTTGCAAAATATTTTGACAGTTCATCCTCTTCTAATGTTGAAAATATAAACTGTCAGTATTTAACTGTTGTAATCATTAGCTGTTTGTATGGTTGTAGGAGCCAGTTCTCTCCCCTGAGAGGAAGTGTTACCAGTATGTGTCCATAGTCCACCTCAATTCACCCAGAGGAAGCTTGTGGTAAGCTCTATTAAAAGGTTTCGTTATGCCAAGTCATATCTATACAGCCAAACATTGGAGCTTGAACGTCTAGGATGGCTGGATAAATAGTTAGACATCTTAAGTGTGCTGTACACATGAAAAATACTCCATATTCCACCTCAAATAATTGATTAAAATCGTGTTCTCCTGTACTTCAACCTGTGTTTGTGCTTGAGAAATAGCAGTGTCCTGTATTCCATGGGGACTGCTGTTACATGTTTTTACAGTGTTACACGTTTTACCATCATCACATGACAACTATTAATATTGCTTATTGCCCATTAGTCCGAATTATTCTGTCGTTTTATCGACTTTTATTATCGGTCTGTCGTCAGTTAATCGACAACAGTTGGGTATAAAAAAAAGTCGATAAGACGTCAAAATAATTCGGACTAATGGGCAATAAGCCAGTGTCATTCAGCAGGCCATGTCTAAACATTTTTTGCTATCCCTATTTTTCAGAAAGTATTAAAGGGGACATTCTGAATCTGTGTATACATGATTGACCTGATACTAATTAGTTGTGCATTCTTTAATCTTAATTTGATCTTAGAAATTTGCATGTCAAGTTACCGCGATCTCAGCTATCACTGACGAGTACATAGTGAAGGGTTACGTACATGATCCCTTTACTTCACTAATTGTGATTTGGAAAAACATGGTTGTCGTTGGATTTACTATTAAAGGAGAATGTATGTGAAGTTTGTTATTGGTATTTCTAATGAATTACTAGAGAAATTACAAAATAATATTGCATACATGTTCTTCTCAGCCACAAGTTATGCCTACTGTAAATATATATAAAATGTAAAAGCAAAAGTGGCCACACATGCATATTGCTAAATACTGCAACTGCCAAAAGTTCAGGCAAATGTATTATGATGCTTCACACAACTGTATGTATCATGGTTAATAGAGTTATCCCCCTTTATATAAAATGTACATTGTAGTTAGCAGAAACTTTTTAATCTGCCTTGAATTGAGCTGAAATTTTAATATTCCATAAAGATAACTTAACTTCTATAGCAGAGATTCTCAAACTCATCTTAACACAGATGTTAGGGACAGTTTGTAACATCAAGGTCCCTAAAAGGATTATTTAGAAAATCGAATATAATTTTATGATGTTCCTTACTAAATAATCTTTACTTTTTATGTCTGCTTAGATTCCTAAGTTTTTCCTGTATTTGTCGAGCTGTGTGGGGGGATAAACATGTACCATAGATTTGTGAGTTTCTCCTGTATTTGTGGAGTAGTTTATGATGTTAAACATGTTTTGTAGTTACCGTAGATTTGTGAGTTTGTCCTGTAATTGTGGAGCAGTATATGATGTTAACCAGTTTGTGTGGTTACCTTACAGGGGAAGCTATACAATGGTGAGACCAGATGGTACAGAGGTTATCATCAGGATACCTAGGATGGAACTCAGGTGTGACGACGACAATAACTTATGATGAAAAGTACGGGGAAAAATGGTTTTAAAGATTTATTGGTTCGGCAAAACCAATACAACTAACTGAAGATACACAAGTCAACAGGAAGGTCATCCATTGGCAAGCTGGAGGTAAAAGTCATCCCATTGATGAGAATGAAGTCATCCCATTGTTGAGAAGGAAGACCTTTATTGACACGTCACAGTGACAATGGTGATCTTAATGTCATACCATTTTATTGGTGAGCTGGATGGAGGTGATCATTGTATTGATAAGTCACAATGACGCAGTGGGCTGAATATAAATTTACAACATTTGATATAGCGCCCTATCTAGCTAACATAAGCCACTCTAAAGTGCTTTAGATAATACATACAATGTATATATATATATGAACCCATTTAGATCCTGTTGAGCTTAATGCCAACCTATTTACCAGTAGATACTGGTGAGCTAAATATCAGAATAGGGGAGGTTGCTGTGATGCTATACATCAGTGTTCTCATTTAAATGTGGTTGCTTACATAAGTAGCCTACTATTCATCAACTTTAAACCGTGTATTTTTCAGAATATGTATAGGTCATCATTATAGCATGTTATAATTAACAGGCTATTCTTTTGAGTCAACCACCACCTGTTTCAAAACTTAGTGAAAACACTGTACATATAGATAAGATAAGTAGAAAATCAATTGTTGTTTTCCTGTATAGCTTATTCCGTTTTATCTGACCCCTGAGTATTCTGGCATCAAGCCATTTCAGACATTCATATTCAAATTTCTTTTCTTTTGTAATAAGGCATATAACACCAGTGTCCTCTTATATCCTGTCAAAGTAATTGTTGAATTTCACAGGGTATCTGATTAGACAGGTTTCAATACAGATTAGAAAGCTTGTAACTAGAGGAAGTGGTACATACATGATCAGCTGATGATGTACTTGAAAATAAGGTAAATAATAAGTACAAGTATGAGGTCTGCCTGATGTCTCATCAAATATATGGCATAATGAATTTTTCTTGTTTTCTTTTATTCAAAGTACTGAACTATCATTGTTAAAGGACTCTGGGCATTATGGGTAATTTTTGGCCTCATAAAAAGTAAAAAACTTCAAATTGAATTTATTTACAAATTTCTGTTATAAACATCATATTGGTTAATTTGGGCTATCTTTCTTGGTGAAGTTTTTTTCTAATGCGCATGCGTGGATGTTCATATTTTGTACTTCATTTATTCCAGATTACGAAATATAACTAATTCTAAATCTCCGGTGAGACCAGAAATGGCCCTTAACGCCCCTAGTCCTTTGTGATTATCATTCTAAACTTTGAATAACGAAACACAAGACAATTCATTGTATAGCAGTTGTACAGTGACAGAATAGTGATGTACATAGCAACGAACGAAACACAAGACAATTCATTGTATAGCAGCTGTACAGTGACAGAATAGTGATGTACACAGCAACGAACGAAACGGTTTGACAGATGATTGTGTAGTTGAAATTATAATGATGTATAAAGCATTGAAGGAAACATTTCAGATAATCATCATGTTCAGGAAAAAAAATGAACTTTTTAAAACCTCTTAAGCACTTGTACATAAGTTATGTTTAGTGTATAGTAATAAATAACTCCTATAGCCTGCTTACCTGTACTGGTTCTCAGTCTCAAGGTCTAACATTTGATGTTATGGATTGTATTACATTATAATGTGTATGCCCAAATTTCATTGATGTATGCTTTGTTCTGAGGAAGATACATATTTATGGCTATTAGTGATATCTTTTGACTATCACTACTTGTTAATAAGAGGAAAAACATATTATTTAATCTATGTATCTTTTTTTTTTAACCCGGATTGAAAGAGCTGATATCGTATCCTCAATAATGAGGTGCATTATACAAAATTTGTATGCATATGTCAATGTGTTACAAAGATAGCATCTATTTAGTTAGATGTATGTTATTTCTACGTGTATATTTTTTTTAAAGCATTGTTTAAACATTAATCATCTGAGTGACACCTGAGCAGTGAGTGTATGTACAGGATACTTGTTTCAGCGTAAGACTATTTGTAACAGTGGACAGCTGAGAGTAGAAGAGTTCATCACTCTAGCATACTGTGTGTTATTAAGTATGTTTCATATTCATATGTTTGAATCATATGACTAAAATAATTTATATTTATTTAATCACCGAAATACCAAAAACATTTGAAAAGCAATGACTTTTTTCCTGATGTTCACATTGTTGGGTGATATCTGATCTGGTGAGCGTTCGTGTGGGATGTTCTACAATTGTGTGTAGTTTGTTTTCGGACAGATTTATGTTTGTACTAGATGTGTGAGCAACTACATTTATTATGTAGCTCTGACTGTAAACTTTAGGTTCTTGGTAAAAAGTTAGAAAACACGTCTTGATAGCCACCAAACATTATTTTTTGAAATGTGTACAGAATACAGATGTAATTTTTAAACGGTTGTCAGTTTTCTGACATTCTTAGGAGAATGTATGTGAAACGTTAATACAAGTTTATCTGTATGTGAAATGTTAATACAAGTTTATCTGTATGTGAAATGTTAATACAAGTTTATCTGTATGTGAAATGTTAATACAAGTGTATATGTTGCTATGGAAACATTGTCATGGTAATAAATCATCTTCACAATTAATTTCTTTTAGTTATTGCTGTTGGTAGCCCGAGTTTCCTCTGGCCCTGACACCAGACTTAAGACATTCCACTGATAGATGTATGGGGCCCACACCAGAAAAACTTGGCCTATTGCTGTTGGTTGAGTGGTGATGAGGATCTCCGGTTAATACATGTCAGTGCTATGTTTTCAACTGATGCTTGAATGCTGATATTGTTAAGGATGTACTCTTCTGAGGTTTCAATCACGTCTCGTTTTGATCCTTAAAAGTTTTTTTTGTAATATTTAACAAAGTATGATCAATTTAAATAGTAAACACGCATCTAAAAAATGTGTCAAAAATCAAGATGTCTGAACATTGTTTGTTTGTAGAACTTTTTTCACAAGAATTTTAAAGAATGACCAATTCGGAGGCCATTTTGAAAATGTGAATTTCTGTATATTTCTTGTGCTTACACCTTTTTGGTATTTATTTTTTTACATATTTAGTGTACTTGAAACACTTTTGATTTTGGACCCCGAAATAGTGAGAAATAACACAAATAATAATGGAACAAAAATGAAAGCACAAGGCCCCCCATTTTTATACGACCCTCAAATTCGACCGATCTCTTTGAAACTTGGTATACATGATAATCATGATATGAAATTGTGGCTCCCTTAAAAGAATTTTGATTCGACAATTTTTCCAAAAGTTATTGCCCTTTGTTCATTTCAGTATTTGATTTTTGTCCGGAAATCTCCTCCTACATTTTTCAACGGATCATCTTTGAAACTTTGTATACATTATAATCATGATATGAAGTTGTGTCCCCCTTAAAAGAATTTTGATTCAACGATTTTTGCAAAATTTATTGCCTTTTGTTCATTTCAGTATTTTATTTTTTGTCTGAAGATTTTCTCCTACATTTTTTATAGCATATCAGCTAGAATGATGCAGATCTTATTTCAATGTTAGAAAGTATATAACACTATATTGCATTCGACGGGCGTATTTTGTTCTGCCCCGCGGTACTCTTGTTATGGCTGTTTTAGAAAGAGAAACCTATTTTCTATTGATCCGCTAACAATTTAAAAAGTTTGAATGGCAGAACTGTTTATATCAAGCGTTACATATGCAAAAAAACGGTGAAAATATGAGTATTTTGTCATTAAAAATCAAGTGGTAGGGGTAACCTAAATTGTTTTTCTGAGTCAAAAGAATAAGTTAAAGAAATTTTACTTGTATTTAAAAGAAAATACTGTTTTGGCAATTCTGAAAACATTCATATATATCTGATAATACATTTGGAGAAAATTGTATGAGTTTGTCCTGCAAATGGTCAAAACAGCAAAATTCACTTAAAATCACATATTATGTCAAATTGGTATAGTTGACCGATCATAGCACAAAAACGAGCACATGGTCATATAATTATTTTCGCATTTTCTGCTATGCCATTAACTCCCTTTGTTTTAACAAGGATCTTTTTTAATTCTCTGAGATGTACATCATATCCTTAAGAAATGTTGCAAGCTACACACAGCTAGATATCTGGGACGGAAAACGTTGCCAGCTACAACCTAAATGTACAAAACGAAAATTTAAGGTTATTCGTTAACAGGTGACAAAGAAATCTCATCACATTCTCGGTTTTGGATAGGAAACAAGGAAATCGCATGATATCTTTAGCACTGACTTTTTTTTCAATTTTGTGCTGATGATATCTTGACATTGTATGTGCACTACTCTATATGAGGAGTGTTCTGTGTTGTAACTGCATGTTGTACTGCTGAACGTCATCAAAACTACAGGGACCTGATAATTTGCTGCAGCTAAACTAAGGTGTTCAGAGTAACGTTGCACATTTTAGGGGTTTAGACATGTACAATTACTCCGAACACCTTAGTTTAGGTCCAAATATAGCTGTAACAAATTATCAGGCCCCTGTGATGAAAACTTCCCCTGCTAGGTAATTCTGCTTAGTTCGTGGGACATCTGAAAATATTTCTATCTTGCCCTTGTTTGTTACCTATACTCCATATCTCCTCACAGGAATTACTTTATAGACATGAGTGCAGTTGTCGTTTTCACAATGCTACATAATGGCCATATTGGTTTCCCGACAATGGTACAGAAAACAAGCCAATTCGTGGAATTTATATCCCTCGTTTGCAGGACATATTGTAGGTTAACATTATTGAGGTTAAGTTTAAACATGTGAGTATCGTGCTGTTGAGACATAATGTATAGCTTGAAACTTAAGAAAAAAGCCCTATACCTCATTGATTATCCGTAAATATGCACAAATCATATCGGTTGGCAAACTTAGCATGAGTCGGATGTGCATACGGAATTTGGTTGAAATATCTGCACAATATCTACAGCAATTATCACATGAAAACCAAAGAGTGCCTGAGTTGGGTGTAAAGACAGAGGAATACAAACATTGTTATCAAGTTTGAAGGAATTTGGCTAATATTTGCTAGAGTTATTAAGCGGAAACTGCACATAATGACGTTTTTCGTTAATCGAGGGGCCATAACTCTGCCAAATGGAGTTCGCTGAAAATGTTCATCGAACATTGCCAAGCCCTTATGGCATTTAACCCTGTGATCAAGTTTGAATAAAATCGGTTATTATTTGTTGCAGTTATTGCACGGAAACGAAACGCAGCAGATAATGACGTTTTTCGTTAATCAAGGGGCCATAACTCCGCCTATTGGGGTTCGCTGAAAGTGGTCATCAAACTTGGCCGAGCCCTTATGGCATTTAGCCCTGTGACCAAGTTTGAAGAAAATCGGTTAACATGTGTTGTAGTTATTGCACGGAAACGAAGCGTGACAGACAGACAGACAGACAGACAGACAGACGGACTGACCCAAATTAGTATCCCCGTCTCGGTGAAAGCGGGGGATAAAAATGACAACGTTAACGTTGGTGCTGGTCGTTTAGAGTCGGTACTGTGGTATATATATATATGGGTCTTTTTAACTCGGTGTTTGTCCTTCACTTGTGTATATATAGACCCTACACCAATGGTTCCATGTCGACCATAACAGTCAGTTATAAGTGTTTTGGCACGTCCTAGGAGCTCCTTGAGCCCCTGTGATATAATTACTGGGTAAACCGATTTTTGATGTAAGTCGACTGCCATTGAAGCACTGGAGTGGATAATTAGCATGTTATGTAGTTGTTATGGACACTTTTACGGGTGTTAACAGCCTATAAGTGATGTATTTAGTGTATGTATAATTATATTACCCCTGACCTTCCATAGGGGTAGGCTGTACCTAACCAACATCTTACGACCTGATCAAAGATTTTTATAGATCTAGATTATGTATATTACTGGCCTCATTTGATCGCTGACCGTATTACCATTTTTCTGTGTAATGGTCCTAAAAAACCTTATTGTGTTGATTTGCCGCTAAAACATAGCCCGAGTTTTCCGGCTCTGGCCCTAAAAACCAGACTTGGACATTTTGACATATAGACTCCAGACATCTATATGTCAAACTGTCTAAATCTGGTATTAGGGCCACATAAAACTCGGGCTAAAACGTACATGTACAAACTAACGTGGTCGCGATACCTTAAGTGTATACCGTTCTGTAACCTCATATACAGGACGTGCTTAAAGCTTATAGTACATTTTTCAGTAACAGAATTTATATAGAATCATGTAGGTGATCGGCGTTAGTTATCAATTAAACTGTCAAGTAATTACAGTGGAAACTCCATAACTGTGTGAGCTACAACAGTTTTCATAAAACGTATGGACATCCGACAGCATTTACTATGGTGTTAATTGATTCTGAAAGGGAAGTGTGTGGTTATCTAACTACATGTATGTGAATCATAACAATCGTCATGTATATGATTTTTTTTCTGTCAATTTAATCTGCTTCAGTATTTGTTTCTACTTGAACATTGCCGCTTTCGTAATATTCTCATTTGTATATATATATATACGTCGTCTTTGTGAACAATGGAACAGATGCTTCCCTCTAGGGGTTATCAATCAGCCGCGATTCTGGTGGATGAGGATTGTTTGTTCGAAAAAGAAACGAGAAACCTGTATTCATGAAGCTAGTCTCGTGTACAAACTTGAATTCTGAGCTGAAACTAATTTTCTTGCAAGTGTGAATTTGCAAAATTGACCCAGTGAATCAATTTGGGCAATAAAGTTTGATACAGTTGAATGGTATTGAGAAATATTCTCAAAATTATGGAGTCGGTGACGCTGAAGTTATAAAAGCTCACAATATATGTATAAATATATCACATTTAATTTAAAGTTCATTATAGATTAACATAGATTTTTTACAATGATACTCAACACCTGCTGTTTCTACACGGAAATCCACACAGGGCAATTACAAGATAGGTATCCGAAACTGAACGACAAATCATGGTCGTCAGTTTCAGCCGTTTTGGCTGAAGGATTTTCAATGATATCACAGATTGCTGGAATTGTTTGTATGTTTGAGTGTTACACACATTGAGCACTAATATATATATGTGTATTTGTGTTGATTTATAACACGAATTAAAAAAAATAACTGCACGCGTTCTGCATCATATGGCCCATAAAATGCTATTTGAGCATCAGGGAAAGTTTTGATATTACAACATCTGTCACTCTCACGTTCTGTCTTCCAAATAAAGATCAACTCATCAAAGTCACAAGTCAGCACATTTTTAACACAAATAACCACATAATAGACATAACTGATCGAAAGTCTACAATCGGTGTAGACAAGTATCAATTATCAAGTTTAATGCTTTCTTATTTAGGCATGTTCATGTTGATATAATACTGTAGGTGACGATGTAGTTATAGTAATACCACTGACAAATCAGTTAGTGACCGATCGCCGAATGGTGTGCGTTGTCAGGGCCATCGCCATGCGAATCTGACTTAGCCATGCCTTCTCCTTGAACGTGTTTGCGATAGTCATTGATTTGATGGCACGGTCACGTGAGGTCGACCCTTGGTACTTGGAGACAAGGTCTAGGATTGGTTGCACGACGTCCTCCTCGCGCATTCCCCTGTGATAGAAGAAGGGCCTGCTGATGTTTTCCGTACTGATGAGGGGTAAAGGAACCGCCCCCTCTGACGCGGCTTTCGCCTTTGACAACAGCACTGAAGACGTAATACGATTCTTCTTTTTTGATTTCTTTTCTGACTTTTCTGATTTGTCTGCTATGCTTCGCGGGGATCCTGGTGTTTCTGCATTTTGGGCCATTTTGGATTTCTCTCCGCCAGCTCCCCGTAAGCTGGGTAACGATTTGGCGGATTTTTCAGGCTTTTTGTTGATAGGCGTTTGAATATACTTTGCTTTGTACTTTTTATCCATGCTACTGTCGGACAACTCGTCTTCGTCCTCCTCTTTAATGGTATCCTTCCCCCCTTGTATTTTCCCTCGGTGCGACAAGGGAGGTAGCTTAGTGTTGGGATCACCTATGTCGTCATCCAGGAGATAGTCTCCTTTCCCACCGCGGACGTTTTTATTTGCGAATGTTGTTTTGGCGTTAGTTTCTGCCACCGTGTCGATAGCGTGTCCGGCCCCATGGTGACGTTTGCCTTTGTACGGTCGGCTGTCCGCGTCCGATATTACAGATTCTGCTACAGTTCCTTGCTTACCTCCCTGACCTTTGACTGAAAATGCTGTTTCTGTTTCGAAGTCATTATCAATGGCATTGGCCAGTCCCCCTGCAAGCTGTACGGCAACATCCGACCTATCGATCATAGCACCCCACTTGGTGTTTCGCCTCCGGTTCAAGTTCCGTACACCCGCAAGAGTACCCATCTGCCGGAAGTAGTTCTCGGGATCTCCGTTGATGCCGTAGACTTCGTGGAATGTATCAATAGACTTTTGCTTTTCCTTATCCTTCATTTCATTTTTAGGCCTACCGGTCATTGGGCTTGGCGTGAAGCCATTCACCACTGGCTGGCCATAACTTACCAGTGCTCCGCAGGTATAGGACCTTTTCTTCAAAGTCGATCGCGTCTGTCCATATTTGGCAAAAGCTCTTTCCTTAGCACGGATCGACCATGTTTTGATTTTCCGTAGGCTCTGAACAGTGATAGAGCCGAATTTGCCTACGGGGACCTTTGTCCACTGCCGAGTAAGAAGAAATGTGGCACACGGTTTTTGTTTTTTTCTAAGGGCAATATTCAGAGCGTTCAAATCATTACCGTCCTTCGCCATGACCACAGTGATATCGTGATTTACAAACAGCCGTACCACACCGAGCTGACCATTCTCTGTGGCCTCGTGGATCGGGGCCTTTTTGGTCTCTATATGAGACTTTTCGTTACACCACTGTCTGGTCGGATGCTCTCCAATGTGTTCGTCGGCCCGCACACCCTGTCGGATAAGACTTCGCGCCAGGTCAACACCTCCGTAATGGGCCGCGATAAATAAGGCCACTTTCATCTGGAAGCGGGAAATGACTTCGTCCGTGGCGATTTGAGCGAGAACCTGTGGTGTAAATCCCATTATACACAGGTTAATAAACTCGTTCCAGCCGTCCCAGTTTTCCATCCTCAGAGTCATTCCCGCCTCTACGTCATAGGTGTATAACTCGTGGCCGTCGTACATTTCTTGACCGTCATTATTCACTAATCGGAAAATAGAGACGGGGATACCCGTTCGCTTTCCAACTATTGTTCGGAGGTCCTCTACCTTCATTGTATGTACTATCAGTGCTTTGTCCACGATATCGATGACCTCATCATTATACGTACAGTGTACAAACAATACTGGCTTTATCTCCTCCTTCATGTGGATTTTGATGGTCGATCCCGGAGGGATTCCGAGATCCGTGAAGCACCATCCTTCCTCCAAGTCACTACCACTATAATGCAACACAACAACCTTTCGGTCTTTTTTACTGAAATCGTCAACGTATATACCAAATTTGTCTTGGAACATCCGTTTTGCTTCTCCAACGCTCGCCCCTATAGGGACGTCTATGGACATCCGTTCGTCCTCGTAAACCCCAAACACTAACATTGTTAAGGCTTCTGGACTGGACATAATACTCTAACAGAGGATCTGTAGGGGGATGTATCAGCATAACACTTCAGCACTTGTGTTAAACTGACGGAGTGAAGTCTCGCAGCTCCACGGGAATTCAATGCACGTGATTGGATAAACAGTTCTTGGTGATTTGCTCGGGCAATTCACTCCTGGACTCTCAGCGTTGGCTCCTCCGCAAATCCTGTTAACATACAAAAAGAGCTGGTTAACTAAGAAACAGTTCATTAAATTATATTTTAGCAACATTTTCTCGGAAACAAATGATATATTTGGTAAACACATATGGTGAAGATTGTAAATTCGGACATGCATTATTGCATGTAATTTGAAGCAGTATTCATGCTTTAGGCTGGCAATGGTACAGGTACATTTTATATGTTTGTATGCAATCAATCATGTCTTACATTATTTATGTAATTTTATCTTTATCCAATCTTTCTATCATAGATGTTTAATGCTGTTTTAGATTCGCTTACTGATATGCAATACAGTATGTTTAAATACTTAAAAAGATGAATATATGAATACAAATTGTAATATATAGACCAGCTAAGAAAAGAATACGAATCTTTTCCACATAAAATAATATAAATATAGGTTCAAACGTGTAATTATACAAAAACTATCTTACAAGTCAACACGCCAGGCAACAGCACTGCTGTACCATCAGCTAACTGTACACTTATACCCTTATAGAACTATGTTACATGCAGTTATACCCTCATATAAAACTGACAAGTGCATCTATGCTCTCATACAGAACTAACTCAGACACAACGGTAATACCCTTTTACAGAACTGTATACAACTGACATGTTCAGCTATACGTTCACAGACTGACGTATATACAACAGTTGCACACTAATACGAAGCTGGACCGTACAGTTTAAACTGTTTAAAAACTGACAAGTTCAGCTATACCGTCGTTAAAACTAACATATACAGTTATACCCGCCTGTAAAATTGGCACGTTGTCATACAATCTTAAAGAAATGTATTTTGTTTGATAACTTCATTATTGCATGACAAAGCAGCACCATTAACTGCTCAAAATGTTTTACTCTGCACACTATACCTACCGTTCCAGTGCGACTATGTGGGCGAGAAACCTCCCTTCCCCAATCTTATACTCGAGTCATCCATTCGAAAATAAATGCATTTCTCACGTTTATGAATGACAGTTATCAATAACGCGGTCCACATCAGTGTCTCGCACACTCCAATACCACATCTATGTACATTCGTAAACCCTATTCTAACACTGTTTGACGTGAATGGCAGGTGCGCTTTGTATTAACAGATATATAACCTAAGCGTAATAAGCATTTTATTGAATTGTGAGTTTGCCAGGTTTGAGGTTTAGGACACCGGTGGGTAGTTAGGGAAGTAACGGTCACATAGTACTAAAGTGAACTGAAACACATATGTTAAATAAGTGTAGTGTCGGCAGAGGTTAAACACGTGTAGTGTCGGCAGAGGTTAAACACGTGTAGTGTCGGCAGAGGTTAAACACGTGTAGTGTCGGCAGAGGTTAAACACGTGTAGTGTCGGCAGAGGTTAAACACGTGTAGTGTCGGCAGAGGTTAAACACGTGTAGTGTCGGCAGAGGTTAAACACGTGTAGTGTCGGCAGAGGTTAAACACGTGTAGTGTCGGCAGAGGTTAAACACGTGTAGTGTCGGCAGAGGTTAAACACGTGTAGTGTCGGCGGATATCACTCTGTAATACTAGAAGTACATGTAGTATACGAATGCACCTAATTAATTCGTGGTCTTAGCAACATAGAAACGATAGTAATAATAAAAGGTGTAATTAACATCAATATAAGCGAGTTAATGAATTACTTACATGTATCCAGCGTATTCAATGTTTGATTTGGAATGTTATAACTTAAATACATATTTAATTTAATATCGTTATTGTTATTTCGTTAATTAGTAATTACTTTGAAACATCAACGGTTAGGTATTTGAAACAGTTTCGACGAGGTATTTACGTCTTAACTTTATTACACATTATATTGTATGTAAATACGATTCAAAACTAGCCGTGATTACTCCGATATCCCACTATAAGTCCGTGATATAGTGGTACAGATTGGGTCATACAGTTACCAGATTGTCCAAACAACAAGCTACAGCAAAGTGTGTTGACTTGAAACATTAACGTATCCAATCGATCAGCTAGGAGGTATGTTTATTATACCGCCATATTCACTGGTAAACATAGATGTTATGAAGTACTAACTATAACACTGTGATATATCCACTGGTAAACATAGATGTTATGAAGTACTAACTATAACACTTTGATATATTCTCGGATGAATAAAGTTTTTGAGGGATGGGAATGTAACAATATTTACCGAACCTTTAAGAAACACAGCCGCAGAGATACTATTTATGTTTTACCATAGGTGATGAAGAGGTTGGAGACACATTCGTGGTCAATATAATTGACCCAAGACATTCATATGAACTAAACAGGGAATGGAAATGACGTCAGAACGCTTTGCAATGCCATTCGTCATGTTCGACGGTAAAAAAAAACAAAAAAACAACAACAACAACACCTGGCAGTGATTTCCTTGTCGACAACAGAAACCGTATTAACAAATAACGGTTTGACATGTTTTAAGGCTATACAAGTTTTTGAACTCGTCAAGGTTGTCATCATGATCCAAATCTCTTAAATTGATTTTATATTTAGAAATTGGCACTGGGCAAACCTTGTGTCTGAACTTTACTTGTTTGAGTTAGATCAATGGAGGACCATCATTGTAATGACCAGCCTGACGTTGTATCCACTTGACAATATACGATACTTAGGAAAGGCTATATATACCTTAGCTGATTTCTGTGATATATCGGGTACCAACAACAAATTATTCCAATTATTGTTTCAGTACGTTTCTCTATCTTGACCATAATAAAAGAGAAACGTATATCAAGCATGATGCATTTTCCTCCTGACTATGTTAGTTGCACCCCGTGGAAAAATATTCTCGAAGCCTTGACTCTTCTCCTATCCTCTTATCCCTGTACAATATCATGCAAAGCAAAGACATTTTTAACATGAAAAAATACATATTATAACAGTAAATCATATTTCAACATCTTACATATCGTTATCCAATATATAACAATTGATCATACAAGTGTTATCATTACGTGGTTATGTTCTACCTACCTTAGATAAATCTTACACCACCCTCGCCGGTACGTCACATTTAAAGTACCTTAAAATCCCAATGAAAGCGATATTCGATATACTATAAACACACAGGGGCTATATACGTCCGATCTGATTACCAAATTAAACCTGACATCCAGCGGTCTAAAAACGAACCATTTAACACGAGATCCTGATACATTTGATATAATGCGGTATCTCGTTACTGTCATAGTTGTCAATAATACTCTCTATATGCGGGTAATGCTATCTACAGCTAGGTATCATGGGCTCCCGTGGGAGGTGTATTAACAAGAGTTGTGTTATATTAAGAACTCTGTGGTTTTATGCCAGGGGACGTTGGCAATATACGAATTTAATAATATTGTATTTGTCAACAATGCAGAAGTACTGATACCCAAATACCTGTGGCTTAGATTTGAAACCAATTATCAAATCAAATATATTATGCAATTACGGTCGATAAAATGGCGTTGGAAGTAGATTGCCGTACAGGAGTATAATACTGTTCAGCAATTAAAAGTAAGTGAGCTGTATTAGATAGGAAAACGCTATTATAAAACGAAATTACATTATTGACACGTGTGTGGAGTAAGCCTCCTTGAAACCTATCTAATTGGTTTTCGATTGAGTTACGTCCAAGGAGTACGGTGGAGGAAACCGTGTGTTAGTGGCGCTCGCCTCAAGGTAGAAGTAAGTGTTGTGACTTTTTAGGTTAAACCATTTTCATCCCATCTTGTCAACATGCTTGACAATTTGAACAACAATCATATATCCTAAGTAAACAATCACCACGGGGACGTCAAAATAAAGGAGAACGCCTCTGAACATTAATATGTTTACACCACATGGGTTGTTTCTCCTTTACATAACCCTGGGACATTCACCACGATAGTCAATTGTAGAGCTGCTCAATCTACCAAAACAGATTTGAACATATCTTTGTGTTAATTGTTTGTTACAGATTTACGATTTCTATGTTCCATGCGCTCTCGAAACATCACACGTCTACTATCAAACTAATTGAAGTAACCATGTTAAACACTATATATTGGTGTCATTGATGCTTTTTCCGTTCCTTCTTGTGTCATTTCAGTTTGTGTATCATTGCTATTTCTATCCATTACATAAAGTTACCTTATTATGGTTACACTCGTTACTTTGCGAATACCCTAACCCTAACCCTAACCCTAACCCTAGAACCTGTTGTAATTTATCAGAAACCACTATCGTTCCTTTTTTATTATAATATGAACTGCTAGCATTACACACAATACTTTATCGTTCACTTCTATCTAGTATGCACTTCTAGTGTTTCTGTATATAATCAAGTTTGCACTGCTATTATTCCAGACAATTATCTTGTATGACCTGCACGTATTCCTTGCTATTATCTATTATGGACTATTTGTATTTCTTGCTTTTATCTAGTATGAACTGCTATTATTCACCACTATTGTCTAGTATGAATTGCACGTATTCCTAGCTTTCATCTAGTATGGACTATTTGTGATCCTCGCTTTTTTCTAGAATGAACTGTTAGTATTCCTCACTATTATCCTGTAAACTTCCAGTATTCATCCCTGTTATCTAGTACTAGCTATTTTTTGCATTTCTTGCTATTATTTATTATAAACTGTTAGTTTGCCTTATTGTTATCTAGTATGAACAGTTGGCATTCAATACTATAACACGAATCTAGTATAAAACATTAGTATATCTCACCATCACCTGCGGGTTATCACACTTGCCATACAATTCAGCGTCCCTGTTGTGCCAATTATTTGAATTTATCCTTTATAGAATAAATTCACTGCTATTAAAGTAGTTTGGTATTCATATACACTGATAATGCGTACATGCAGGTTATCTTTAAATGTATTAACATTAGCATGTTCTGTCAAAGATTCTCTATATAATTTCAGATTGGAGATATATTATTAAGATACGCCCTGATTAGCATGGGTGGTGTTTACAGTACAGGGAGAAG